CTACTGACGAGCAAACTAAAATTTCTTAGAAAATATTTATACAGGAAAGGGATTCTAGTGACGAGCAAACTGGAATTTCTTTGGAAATATTTATATAGGAAAGGAACTCTACTGAAGAGCAAACTGGATCTTTTTTTGGAAATATTAACACAAAAAAAGATCAAACTAAAATTTCTTAAATAGAAAAGGGACTCTACTGACGAGCAAACTAAAATTTCTTAGACAGAAAAGGGACTCTACTGACAAGCAAACTAAAATTTCTTAGACAGAAAAGGGACTCTACTGACGAGCAAACTAAAATTTCTTAGCAAATATTTATACAGAAAAGGGACTCCACTGGCGATCAAACGAAAATGTCTTGGACATAAACGGGACTCTACTGACGAGCAAACTAGCAAAGGGATTTTACTGACAAGCAAACTAGAATTCCTTCCCAAATAATTGTACAGACTCTAAGGCGACTCTACTCGTATCATCAAATCTCTCTTTTGGCGGCTCGTATCTCGAAACACTCGTGTTTACCGGCTCGCAAATCGGGGTACTGTCGTTGTTCAAAAATCAATTTTTTCAAAAATTAAAATTAGATCAAAATCTAATCTTGATCTATTTCTCATCACGTGTAATCTTTGTAAAAATTAGTTCCTCCCTTAAAACTATTCCAAATAGACATGTATGTAATTAATTCAGATAGGTTATCTAATTATAAATGACTAATATTTTTTTCTGTTACATAACACTATATCTCCTGACTCCTGTCAACAATTAATGTTTCGTCAATCCATATGACTGTGATCATCCAGCTTTGTTGAATCTTGGTTGAGGTTGGTGCTCCTAACCTTCGTTAACCTCGATGAGACACTTCTTATGACATGTTAATTTCCAGGGTACTATTATTATTTTACTTTTGCTTTTTTACAAACATTTATTTATATAATATGCCTCTAAATCGATGAACGTAAACATGGAAATTTTTATAATTGCTTTTCAGTTTTTATTTTTTAATTCGATGGGGTAGCGATAGTAATATACATATTAGATTATTACCAGGGGAAAAGCAGTTGACAATTTAGTTGGTAGATGAATGGTTGTGAAATCGTGAAGTGTGAATGGAGATTAGTTTCTTGATTTTATTTTTGTTTGTTGTGTTTCATGAATTTTTGTTCGTTTTCAGGATGATTCCGGTTTGATTTCTGGTGATCAGAAACCGGAACCGACACATTTTTCGGAATTGGATCCTAAGACGATGAAAGTCACCGATTTGCGGTTGGAACTCGAGGCTAGGAGCATCAATTCTAAAGGTAAGATTAAGATTTAGTAGTATTTTATTTTGAAAACCAAAATAATCTAGTTCAAGGAGTTCATTAATCACGTGACGATTTTAGGAGGAGGAAGGTTTGACAAAAAATCACGTGGGTCTAGTAAGATATCTCGTGTATTTAATCTTTACCTAAATTTTCAAATAAAAAAACAAAATTGTGACGTAACTAAAAATACACGTAATACAAGGGGGGGGGAGGTGGTAAATTATAACTATCACGAAGTATCACCAAGGGTGAAGGGGGGGGGGGGTCAAAAAATCCCTAAAAATTGATCACGTGATTAATGGACGCCCTTTTAAAGCGAATTGCATGATCTTCCTGACATGTGTAAATAATCGACTTAATAGTGTTTTGTATGTATAGCAGTCATTCAATTTTGTAAAAAAAATAATTATATCTGCCTAATTCAATAGAAAACACTTTTTTTAAGAGCGCGGCCGATTATTTCAATTTTTTAATTAATTACCTAATGATAATGTTTTTAAAATCTTACCTTATGATGAAAATTATTATTTCACCACGAAAAATATTAAAATTTAAATTGGTCGAAATCAGTACTAGAATGTTTTTGGGCACATTTATGCAGAAAAAGGACTCTACTGACGACCAAACCAAAATTTCTTTGTAAAATTAGAAATATTTCTTTGGAAATATTTCTTATTCCTTAAGAAAAATTTGTACAGAAAAGGGACTCTACTGACGAGCAAACTAAAAATTCTTAGGAAATACATATTCGGAAAAGGGACCCTACTGATCCAAAATAAACTAAAAATTTTTTTTGGAAATATTGACGAGCAAACTACAATCCCTTAGAAAATAATTATACCAAAAGGGATTCTACTGACAAGCAAAAAGGACTCTACTAAAGAGCAAACTAAAATTTCTTAGGGAATATATATTCGGTAAAGGGACCCTACTGACCAGCAAACTAAAACTTTTTTTTTTGGAAATATTTATATAGAAAAAGGCCTCTACTGATGAGCAAAAGGGACTCTACTAACGAGAAAATTAGAAATATTTGGGAAATTTTACGTAGAACAGGGACTCTGCTAACGAGCAAACTATTTTTTCTTTGAAAATATTTATTCAGAAAAGGGAATTCTATTAACGAGCAAATTAGAATTATCCAAAAAATATTTATACAAAAAAGGAACTCTACTGACGCGCAAACTAATTTTTTTTTCAAAAATATTTATATATTAAAAGGAACTCTACTGACGAGTAAACTAGAATTTCTTATGTTTATACTGAAGAGGGACTCTAATGACGAGCAAACTAGAATTCCTTAGGAAATATTTACACAGAAAAGGGACTGTACTAACAAATACTATTTAAGAATAAATTAAAAATAAATTTGTTTTAAATGAATCTCTACTTTTTAATCACAATTACTTACTTTCGGTAAGAACTTTATTATTCGATTATATATTATATTATGTATATTTTATATTTTTTGCTTTTAAACTTTGTTCATTTTTTTATAATTATCTTTAAAAAAAAATAGCACTTACGCCAGGCAGCTCCGAAATTATTAATGTTAAGAATTAGTAAATATTTAATAATTATCTTAGTAAATATTTATATAAAAAAAGGACTCTATTAACTTAAAAAATATTTATGCAGAAAAGGGACTTACTGACGAGCGAATTAAAATTTCTTGGGCAATATAAATACAGAAAAGGGACTCTACTGACGAGCGAATTAAAATTTCTTTGAAAATATAAATACAGAAAAGGGACTCTACTGACGAGCAAACTAAAATTTTTCAGGAAATATTTATAAAGAAAACGGACGTCTCGAATTTTGCTCGTTTGTCGAAGCAACGAATTGCTTCTTCAGCTACTTGTATTTCGAAAGTCGGGTTATCGATGTAATTTAAAGATTTTTTTTTTCAGGTTTAAAATCGCAGCTGATAGCTCGATTGGTGAAAGCCCTAAAAGCTGAAGCAGACAAAGTTGATCGGGAAGACGAAGAGGAGGAAGCACAAAAATTGGAAGAAGAAGAGAAAAAATCCAACGACAAGGCCAATGAAAATAGTAAAACTTTGGAGTTTGATGAAAAATCCAGAGAGGAATCGAGCGATAGAAAGAAAAAACATGTAATATAAATTATTTATCATATGTATGATTAAAATTATAATTTATTCGAATTATTATTCTGATATTCTGTTTTTTAGGATGATAGCAGGAGAGCAGATGAAAAGGAACGTCTTGCTTTGGAGAAACGTTATACTTTACCTGAGGCTCCGCATATTATAGTGCATCCGTCGAAGGTTGCAAAATCGGGCAAGTTTGACTGTATTGTCATGTCGTTGTCGTTACTTCTTGATTATAGACCTGAGGATACAAAGGAGCATTCTTTCGAGGTAAGTTTAGTAAAATATAGTTAAAAAAAAAACAACAGTTTAACTATTTATCATGTTCGTTTTGAAACTTTGCTTGTCAGTAGAGTCCCTTTTTTTGTATATTTCCTAAGAAATTTTAGCTTGCTTGTCAGTAGTCCTTTTTCTGTATAAATATTTTCTAAGAAATTCTTTTTTAGGAAATTCTTGTTTGCTTGTCAGTAGAGTCCCTTTTCTGTATAAATATTTGTTACGAAATTCTAGTTTCACTAGAAGTTCTACTAAAGATAAAATTATAAAAAAGAACTATACTGACTAGCAAACTAAAAATAAAATTACAAAGAAGGGGCTCTACTGACAAGCAAACTAAAAATACAATTACAAAAAAGAATTCTACTGACGAACAAACTAAATATACAATTACAAAAAGGGATTCTACTGTCGACTGAACTAAAATTAAAATTACGAAAAAGGGACTCCACTGATGAGCAAACTAAATATACAATTACAAAAAAGGGACTCTGCTGTCGACCAAATTAAAATTAAAACTAGTGGTGCATTGCATCGTGCCTTAAGGCAAATTGCTGGAACTTCCCGTACCAAAAATTAAAAATTAAATTTTCTAAAAAGATTCAGTTTTCTTTTAGAACTCGATTTTTGAGATTTTTAAAATTTTTAAAAGAAATGTAAAGGTTATTATGATTTGATGTGATTTTTTTCACTTTTTTTATTGGATCTCCGAAAAGGCCAGAAATGCCTTCCCAAAAATATCATCAATTCTTCATACAAATAACATGTTTTTTGAATCATACAAATCGGACGCTCCGTTCTCGCAAAAAATCAATAGCCATTTTCTGCACTCTTTGTTTCGTATCTCCGAAACGGTTAGACCTGCCTTTGACAAAAGCTAATCAGCACATCTCCCTATCAATAGGAATCGAATGATAATTGAATCATTTAAATCGGTTGATCCGCGCGCCCGGAAACGTGGACGAAAAAATGCGGACATACAAAACACACACATACACACACATCCATTTATTCTGAGGTATGCCAAAATGTTCAGAAACCTTCAAAACGTCGAGAAATGCAAAAAATTTTATTTTCGATTTTTGGCCCATTACTTTAACTACCCTACGGGAAATTAAAAATGTTGGATTTTTTTTATAATCATGTAAAATATGAAAACACGTGATATCTTCTTAGACCCTCCCTCTCTGCTTGATTTTTTGGTCAAACCGCTTTTACGTGAAGAATAAACGACCCCCAAATGATATTATATATTTATTAATTTTTGTAAATCTAATTACAATTTTATTTTTTTTATTTCCCAGGTGTCGCTCTTTGCCGAATTATTCAACGAAATGTTAATGCGAGATTTCGGCTTCAACATCTACCGATCTCTGCAATCGCAACCCGAAAAACCCAAGGAGGAACCCAAAAAAGACAAACCTTCGTCCTACGATTCCGGCAACAGAAAATCCACAGAAGAATCTTCGTCTAAGGTATCGTCATCAACTGACGGCGATAAAAAGGATTCGGACAAAAAAGCCGATGACAAATCGGAAAGGAGCGATAAAAAATCCGATGATAAAAGATCCGAAGATAAAAGATCCGATCACAGAGGCGGAAGTCGCGATGATGATGACGATGACTATGATGATGACCATTATAGGTCTTCGAGTCGTTCCAAAAGTTCCAAACGAAATAAGATGGTTACAAAAGATCCTAATTTGTTGCTGTCGTTTGTCTATTTCGATCAGACGCATTGCGGTTACATTTTTGAGAAGGACGTTGAGGAATTGATATATACTCTTGGTTTGGCTTTGTCGAGGGCTCAAGTCAGGAAAATTGTCAGCAAGGTTGTGTCTAGGAATTCTTTACATTATAGGTAAGTAAATGAACTGAAATCAAATTACAACTAGCTGTAAGTGGAATTCTGTCTTGCGGCAATTATGGCATCGTGCCTTAAGGCAAATTGCTGGAACTTCCCGTACCGTAACGAAATGTTCGTGGAATACTGAATGTTTTCAAATAGATTATTATAAATATTGTAACATTGTCTAATATTTATAAGAATTATATAAACTGAATTGCAGAGTTGAAATTGTTTGTTTAAAGTATATTAGAACTATAGTCAGAATTAAAAATAAAATCTGAAATATTTTCGATATACAAAAAACTAAAAAAAAAAAAAAAAATTGGGCAATTTTTTTTCCAAAATCAATTATTTTGTTAAGACAAGCAGAAAGTTCTTTGAATCATTTAAATCGGACGCTTAGTTCTCTCAAAAATTGCCATTTTTTCCATATTTAGCTCCGTATCTTCAAAATGGCTGGGCCTGCCTTTGCCAAAAACTAATAAACACTTCTCCCAATCATTACTAATTGAATGTTTTTTAGATCATTCAAATCGGATACTCCAAAATTCGATTTCTATTTTCTGCACTCTTTGCTCCGTATCTCCGAAACGGTTGGACCTGCCTTTGCCAAAAACTAATCAGCTCTTTTCCCTATCAATAGGAATCGAATGTTTTTTGAACCATTCAAATCGGTTGATCCGTACGCCCGAAAATGTGACTGGAAATTTATATCCATACATACATACACACACACACATCCATTTTTTCTGAGGTACGCCAAAACGTTCAGAAATCTTCAAAACGTCGAGAAATGTAAAAATTTTCAATTCCGATTTTCGGCCCATTACAATAACTTACCCTACGGGAAGTTAAAAAGGGACTCTACGTCACAAGTAAACTAAGGGGGCGTCTATTAATCACGTGATCGATTTTTTTAAGGATATTGAAAATTATCCTCTCTCTCCCACCAAACACAACGTGTATTTTTAGTTTGAGAAAAAATTTTAGAATTTTGGATTTTTTTTGAATATTTTTGGATTTTTTTTTTAATTCAGGAAAAAATAAATGCGCGTAATATCTTACCATACCTCTTCCTCCCTCAAGTGATATTTTGTGATTTTTTTTGTCAAATCCCCGCCTCCTCCCCCTAAAAACCTCACGTGATTAATGGACGCTTTACTTTCGCCCCCTAAGAATAAAATTACAAAGAACGGAATCTACTGATGAGCAAACTAAAAATGAAATTACAAAGAAGGGACTCTACTCACGAACAAACAAAATAACAAAAATAATAGAGGGTTTAACTGACTATCAAATTATTAGTTGAAATAAAAAGAACCTCTACTTACAAGCAAAAAAGCTAAAAGAAAAGTTTATTTTTTGTATAAAATGTATAAATTTATAAAAACTATTAAAGATAAACAGTTGTATTAAATTATTATATATAGGCCGGTGAGAAGTGATTTAATTTTAAAAAAAACATCAAAGTTTGTAAAAATAAAATAAAAAGGAATTTTACTGTCGAACGAAATAGAATTTATTAGGAAATACTTAAAAGGAAAAAAGGACACTACTGACGAGCAAACTAATAATACAACTACAAAAAATGGCGTCAACTTGCAAGCAAACTGAAATTAAAAGAAAAATGGACTCTATTGCCGACCAAGTTAAAAAAATTACAAAAAAAGAACTCAATTAGCAAACTACAAATAAAATTACAAAAAGGGACTCTACTGACGAGCAAACTAAAAATAAAATTACAAAAAAGGGTCTCTACTGATGAGCAAAGTGAAAATAAAATTACAAAATGGGTATTCTACTGTCGAGCAAAGTAAAACATAAAAACAACACAGAAAAGGGATTCTACTAACGAGCAAACTTAAAATAAAATTACCAAAAAATGGATTCTACTGACGAGCAAATCAAAAATAAAATTACAAAAATGGGACTCTACTGACGAGCAAACTAGAAATGCAATTACAAAAGGGATTCTACTAACGAGCAAACTAAAAATAAAATTAAAAAGAGACTACTAAAAATAAAATTACATAAAAGGGACTCTACTGACGAGCAAACTAAATTTAAAATCACAAAGAAAGGACTCTACTGACGAGCAAACTAAATAAAATTAAAAAGGGACTCTACTGACAAGCAAACTAAAAATAAAACCACAAAGGGACTCTACTGACAAGCAAACTACAAATAAAATTACAAAAAAGGGATTCAACTGATGAGCAAACTAAAAAAAATAAATAAAAAGGGGCTCTAATGACGAGCAAACTAAAAATGTGCAACAAATGGAATCGACTGACGAGCAGATCAAAAATAAAATTACAAAATAGGAACTCTAATGGCGAGCAAATTACAGAAAAAAGGGACTCTACTGACGAGCAAACGAAATAAATTTAAGAACGGACACTAAATTTTTAAATTCAAAATTAAAAAACTTCTTTTTTCTACTTTGCAGGAAATTAACAGATAAACCAAAGGACGAATCTAGTTCAACTGAATCGAAATCAACCGAAGAGCAAACTGAAAAGGAAGATGTTAAAACTATTGCCTGCGGGAATAAAAGATTTTTACCAATTTTTGAAAATGATGAACATCCTTTCAAGCGAATGAAAACAGAATCAGGAGAAAAAGATGGTTCGAATGATGATGGTGAGTTGATACTTTATTATGAAGGCAAATTGCTGGAACTTTCCGCACCGTAATGAAATATTCAAGGAATTTACTTTATACTTTTATTGATTTTTATTTACCCCGTAGGTTTAATAATGTACAAAGGTGGTTTACTAGATATAGAGAAACTAATGTCTCAAATGTCGAGATCGGAAAAGAGTCGCATAGATACCGAGCAGCTCTTAGTTGAAATTAAACAGAAAAATAACGAACTTTCTTCGGATAATTCGAAAGCTCACGGGACTATTAGAGAGCTTAATGAAAAGCTTTCGGATTATCGTTCCAAGTTATCTTCTAGCGAACGAGAAGTTAAGGAGTACAAGGTAAGAAAAATTATGTTATACATTTTACGAGTGACTTACGACTTACGAGTGTTTTGAGATACGAGCCGCCGAAGAAGCGATTCGAAAATTCGAGAAAATTTCGTCAGTCATAATAATGATTTTCCTACCTTAGAAATTTTTTAGGTTGTTTTATGATAGTCATCTTATTTTATATTAAGGGGCACACCTAGTGTGAAATTTTCAAAAACCTTTGAAAATAACATACCAAAATTTTAAATTGATATCTTAAATAGTTTTTGAGTCACAGCCATTTAAAGAGTATATATATAGTATATAGTATAACGATCATTTTATCTTTAAATGCGTTTTCTTGAAACAGCATTTTCCGAATTTGCTGCAGCGATTACACAAAAACAAATAATCCGATCACTATCCAATTTTTTTACATGTGCTATATATAGTTCTCCGTAAAATGAACTATCGATTTTTTGATTGGATCAAAAATCGAATTTTGGCAGTCCAAAAACGAGCAAAATTTTGGGTAAAGTTCAACTTTTTTTTAAAACGCCGCCATTTGTCAATTTTTGATTTTTTATTTTTATCGTAGGTCATTGTACAGACAATATTATCTAGTTTAACGACATTTTTTTTTTAAATTTCATCCACGTAGAAGGCCGGAATCACTGCAGCAGTGAAGGGCCTTTTTTTCACGCCGTTGGAGATCGACGATAACTTAAAAAATATTTAATTATTTTTTCAAAAATTTTACTATATATTCTTAAAACATGTATAAATATATTCCTTAAATTTTGAAATGATTGATAAAGTAGTTTTTTTAATATAAATTTCCAAAAATCATCTTTTTTTAGGCGGTTACACTAGTTGTGCCCCTTAAGCGTCTATCGCGGTCAAACATCATGACACGTACTTTAAAAATTGGGAAAAAAAATCTATTATTTTTGGTTCAAAATTTTGGTTTTACACCGAACGGAAAACAGAAAAAAAAATTTTTTACTGCAAAATGTCACCTTTCCAACGAGCTTGAATCTGAAATTGTTGATCTGTGGAGAAATATATCAATACCAAAAAAAAAGAGTGCGCGTAAGGTTAAAAAATAATTTCAGAGAAATTCAAAAAATGGAGAAGAATGTTGAAATATGTAACAATCAAACCTGAAAGTTTCGTTTCAATTGAATATTTATTTCCTTCTCTAAAAGATGGTCTGGGCATAATGCTTTACAATAAGCTGCCTTATAAATTACTCAACACATTTTTTAAAGAGCAAGTTTTTTACTCTATTAATGAGTATTTGAGTTCTTTCAGTAAATATTCTGTGAAAATTTGAATAAGATTTTGAGTGAACATTTTTTTTTAAATTATATTTCATTTAATATAGTATGTATTATTATCTATTCATTTAAGTTATGTACCATTAATATCTATATTTGTATAATTCTGATGTATAAATATAAATATAAATAAGTAAAAAAAAATAAATAAATAAAAATTCCTCAAAAAAGGGATTTTTGGAAGCCTCTAAAGCAAGCACCATCCTTAAACTATAAATTTAAAATTTTCAAAATTGATCGACTCTGAGAGGCCTCCTTAGAAAAAAAAAGTGTACTAAAGGTGTTGACAAGTTTCATCAAGAGTTTGCACATTTAATCAGGGTTGTAAAATGGCCAAATACATCATTCAAGTAAAAAAATAAAAACCTAAAAATACGATTTTATGTTTTTATCATTTCAAATTTTGAGCTCTCACTACAGGTAGGATTAAGTTATTTTTTCCACTTTATCATCATTTTGTATTTTCATGATGGCACAAATTGAATATCGAAACGTATAAATAAATATCTGTCAATATAAAATATAAATTTTATATTTTCAGATAAGGACCGATACTTATGCCAGTTTGGTGAAAACTATACAATCAGCTGTTGCAAATACCGTAGAAAAAATTACTAGGAGCGATGAAAGACTCGCAAAATACGATGATAAAAATTCGAAAGTCAGAACTGATGAAAAAAATTTAGTCAATACTAATTTGTCACAAAAAAATGAACCGGTACCAGTGAAATCTCAAGACGAACATGAAATCCAAAAACAAGGAAATTCAACACAAAATGAAAATGAAAATACAATCGATGATAAAAATATTTTCATACAAAATGATAGTTTGAATGAAACCGTCCTTTTAGTTCCTGAAAAATCAATAAAACAAGAAGATACTACAAGTGAAGAAATTTCCGTGAAAATGGAGACGGATCTAGAAAATTAATAGTTTTAAACGACAATCATAATTATTGAAATTGTTGCATAAGAATAAGAATTTCACTAGCATAATTTCTTCTTGTGTGAACGAGTTCGAGTAAAATATGTTTGCTGTGCAATTTTTGTATGATAATTTTTAGTTGTAAATGTGATTGATGATAATATATATTTTCCAGTTAATCATATACATATATTTTATTAATTGCAAACTTTTTGATTGGGAAGTTTGTTTTAGTAGAAATTATCAAGTTTGGAAAAGAAATTTTCATCCATGATTAAAGTGAGTCAAAAGACATTTGATTCGTATTGACTGTATGAAAAACTAGTTGGTATTGGTATTTAGCCTTGAGGCAAGTTACATGAACTTCCCGATATGTGTAAATAATCGACTTAATAAAATATAAATTAATTTGATTTACACATATTTGAGAATGAAGGAACACGTTAACTCAGAGTATTTTACAAATGCAAATATTCACAAATCAACGATTTTTATAATTGAACCAGTTTCCGTAGGACTTTGTTCTATTATATAAACTGAATTGAAAAGTTGAAATTATTATTATACAAACTGAATTGAAAAGTTGAAATTATTTGTTTAAAGTATATTAGAACTCAAGTCAGAATTAAAAATAAAATCAGAATTATTTTTGATATACAAAAAAAATTTTTTCTTTTATTGAAAAAAAAAATTTGAAACAGATTTTTTTTTTAAATCGATTATTTTGTTAAAACAAGCAGAAAGTTTTTTGAATCATTTAAATCGGACGCTTAGTTCTTTCAAAAACTGCCATTTTTTGCACATTTTGCTATGTATCTTCGAAATGGCTGGGTCTGCCTTTGCCAAAAACTAATAACCACTTCTCCCGATCATTACTAATTGAAATGCAGAATTAAAAATAAAATCTGAATTATTTTCGATATACAAAAAAATATTAAATAAAAACTTGAAACAAATGTTAAGGTGTATCTTACATACAAAACGCTTTAAAATGGTTTAAATGGTTAAGGAAGGAGATGTAGTAAGATATCACGGGTATTTAATTTATCTGAAGAAATCAAAGTTTTTAATTTTTTTTGAGGAGTACTTAAGTAAATTTATGGGCTATTTAAATATGACCAGGGGGGCAGAGGAGCCCAAAAATCTTTAAAAAATTATCACGTGAACAGTGGACCTAGGACCTGGGGCACAATGCCACTACTTTGATACGTTATTTAGGTTACATGATAGCAGTTACAAATTTTAGTTTGTTTTTCAACCCTTTTTTTGCAAATTTTGAATTAAATATTTATGTAATCCCTAAGAGAGGGGGTGTTTGACAAAAAATCCTGAAATATCACTTGGGGGAGAGAAGGTTATAGCAAGATATCATCTGTATTTGCAAGCGTATTTATTTTCATTTGAATTAAAAAAAAATCAAACATTCTAAAAAAAAATTATTAAATTTTTCGAAGGGTAGTTATAGTAATGGGCCGAAAATGAAAATGTTTGCATTTCTCGACGTTTTAAAGGTTTCTGAACATTTTAAGGCATACCTCAGAAAAAATGAATGTGTGTGTGTGTTTTGTATGTCCGTATTTTTTCGTCCACGTTTTCGGGCGCACGGATGAACCGATTTGAATGGTTTAAAAAACATTCGATCCCTATTGATAGGGAGATGTGTTACTTATTCGAGTTACATGATATATTGAAATTGCAGTACTTTTTCAACCCTTTCTGCAATTTTCGAATTAAATATTTATTTAGTCCTTAATAGAATTTTCGAGCCGTTGTCTTTTACTTTTTAGGTGGTTGGTTGGATGCATTATAGCATTATAGCATTCGTATTCGCATTCGCGTTCGCGTTCGTTTCTTTCTAATATCTCATTCAGAATGCGATGCTATTCTCACGAATATCCAACGAGCATTGTTTTCCAAACCAGAAATAAATTATTAATAACGGACACAATAATTTATCTAACAAAGGGAGAATAAAACCAAACAATCGAAATGGAATGGAAAGGAATTAATTCCATAATTATTTTTTTTATGTAACGCCGCAAATTATTATGTTGGTTCAGGAAGAATTATTATGTGGAAGTCGGCTTTGGATTGATAATAGAAATAGAAACTAGTGGTGCATGGCATAATGCCTCAAGGCTAATTGCTGGAACTTCCCGTACCGTAATGAAATATTCGAGGAATATTGAATATTTTCAAATAGATTATTATAAATACTGTAATTTTCATTCATTAGTATTTTATAGACAAAATATAAGAGCTTATAAATTGCACGGCCTGGTTTAAGTATGTTTACATAAACAAAACTTAATCAAGCCGAGTTAGAATTAAAGGACTTTATCTCATATTTCTGAGATTGATTTAAACTGAATTGCAAAATTAAAATTATTCATTTCAAGCATATAACTGAGCTTTATAATTTTAGCTAGAATTAAAATTAACTAGTGGTGTATGGCATCGTGCCTTAAGGCAAATTGCTAGAACTTTCCGCTTAAGTGTAGTTTAATTTGTTTAAAAAATCAGAGAAAAAATTAGATGTTTTTGAATTTTTTTCATTATTTTTGAAAATTTTGATAAAAATTAAATATTGGAAAAATGGCCTTTTTTCAAAATGATATTTTTTAAAAATTAGAAATTTTTGGAGAAATAATTTGAAATTTCTTGAATGTTTTTGATATCCACACATATCAGTTGATCATATTCCAAAATATTTAGTTTTCGACTGCCAAATAGTGCGTTTTTTTTAATTTTTTTCAAGATCTCCGAAACCGCTAGACTTGCCTTTGTAAAAATTCAATCAGTTCTTCATTACGTCAATACAAGTGAAACGTTTTTCGAATCAATCAAATCGGACGCTCCGTTCTCCCAAAAACTTAATTGCTATTTTCCGCACTCTTTGCTCCGTAACGGCTGGACCTGCCTTTGCCAAAAACTAATCAGCACATCTTCCTATCAATTGGAAAAGAATGCTTTTTAAATAATTCAAATTGGTTGAGCACACACACACATACATTCATTCTTTCCAAGGGATGCCAAAATGTTCAGAAACGTTTGAAACGTTAAAAATATGAAAAAAAAATATTTTTTTGCATTTACTATTACCTTACTTACCCTACGAGAAGCTATTTGGGCACGGCTATTTTCGAGCCTACCTACACCGCTTAAGTTAATAAAAATTATTAATTGAAATTGATAAGTCTCCAAAAAAGTGTTTAGTACAAAGGATAGAATATTGGACAAGGAAGGGAAAAGAAATCATCGAACTGCCTTCGGGCAGATTACTATTTCTAATTATTAACTTCCCGTAGATTAGTTATAGTAATGGGCCGAAAATCAAAAATGAAAATTTTTGCATTTCTCGACGTTTTGAAGGTTTTTGAACATTTTGGCATTCTACAGAAAAATGTATAATGTAATGTAAATGTATGTGTTTGTGTATTGTATGTCCGCAATTTTCATCCACGTTCTCGGGCGCACGGATCAACCGATTTAAATAATTCAAAAACCATTCGAATTGTATTGATAAGGAGAAGTGCTGATTAGTTTTTGGCAAAGGCAGGTCCAGCCGTTACGGAGATACGGAGCAAAGAGTGCAGAAAATACAAATCGAGTTTTTGAGAGAACGGAGTATAGGATTTAAAACATTCAATTTGTAATGATTGGGAGAAGAGGTGATTAGTTTTTGGCAAAGACAGGTTCCGCCATTTCGAAGATACAGTGCTAAATGTGCAAAAAATGGCAGTTTTTGAGTAAACCATGCGTCCGATTTGAATGATCTAAAAAACTTTCTGCTTGTATTGACAAAACAATTGCTTTTGAGGATAAAAAATAATTACATCTTTTTTTTTTTTTCTTAAAATATTTTTGTAATTTTGGATTAAAAATTCAAAAAATTACCCAGACTAAGCGCAGTATAAGCGCCACTCTGGTACAAATGTTTACCCAAGTGCGTTTGGACTGTTTTATGTATTGGAGCGATTTTCCAATTTTGTGAAAACTATTGAAAAATGTGAAAATGCAGCTAAGCTAAGCACAGTATAAGTGAAAATGTCGCACAGAATTATTTGCAAATGCAGCTTAGACTGTGACTATACGGGATATTTTTCAATTTTGTGCAATTTAGGCAACTATTTTTTTTTTAAATTGAATTCGGAATGAAATGACGATTCTTAATGTTCTGGAGATAAATTGATTTATTTATAATTTACATTTGATTTGCTCAGATATAACAAGATAGCAAAAATAATGAAAGTTACAGTATTTGTAATAATATATTTGAAAACGTTTGAAATTTTTCGAATATTTCATTACGGTACGGGAAGTTCTAGCAATTTGCCTTAAGGCACGATGCCATACACCACTAGTCATTATTGATTCTATCGTTAAGCCTTTGTTTCATCAGCACTGTTACAAACAAGTTTGGTCGTGCACGGCACAGCCACAGGTACACACGAAGGAAGGCATTGCCATCTGACTCGGAACATTTTTTTTTTCTTGCCCTCGCTCACATTTTATTTACCTCAGTCAGTCAGTCAGTCGTCGTACTATCATCGTCTCATAATGTACTAGAGACGACGGTAAATAAAAATAATAACATTAAATATTAAATAATCTGTTTAATTAATTTAATTAATGAATAGGTTTAAGTGCTTAAAACAATGCTAGGTGGTAACGTTGGACGCGAGCGGCTTTCTGTGAAAAAATGTGCAAGTGTTGGAGTAAAATTTAACAAGTGTTCAAAAATAGTGATATACAAGTAGTATTTATAATTGTGAAAATGTAGGATTATAAAATGTGTGAGCTGTTTGTGTACGTGTATTTATAAAATTGATAAAAATGTTTTTTTAGGTATTAAATTTTATATAAACTAGTGGGGCGCATGTCATTATGCCTTAAGGCAAATTGCTGGAACTTCCCGTACCAAAAAGTTTTTTTTTTCCAAAAAAAGATTAACATTTTTGAAAAAAAATTACTCTGAAAAAAATAGATTTTTGAGAAACTTATAAATTTTTGACGAAATTTTACTTTATTTGAAAAAAAGACTTTTTGAAGAAAAATTTAT